TGAAAAAAATGTATGTATTTGACTTCAAACATTTTAAAATGTACCTCTATTGTTTATCATTTTATGATTGAAAATCATGTAATGAATGTTACTTCAGTTCTACTTTCTGAATATAAATCATCATATGCAGTAAAAGGCAACAATATACAAGTACATAGTATATATTCTCTGAATTATATTGTGTTCTTGTATTTTTATTTGCTTTTTACTGCCTATTTAGACGTTATTGCTCATCTACTTTATATTTCACTTGTATTTTGTAGCATTCACGTGGACGGCAAAGTAAGAATTTCATTGTACAGGGAAACAGGTTTCCTAACTGTGCATATGACAAATAAACACTTTGACCTTTGACCACTGTAAAAGGTTTTCCCACAAACTCAACTGACAGGCTTCTCTCCTACATGATTTCACACAAGTCTCTTCTGACCTTAGTGCATAAGCTTCTAACTTCCAACTGAAGCATGTTTGTGACCTTCTATGCTATTGTCACCCTCACCGCACTGGACGGCGACCTCATCCGGCAAAGGCGTTGTGTTGACCAGGAGGCGATCAGGATGTAGACGCTCATGAGTAGAAGCTTTTACCTCAGTGAGAAATATTGTCACGTTTTACTATCACGAGTTCTTGTGGCACAGGATCATGCCACTGATAGTCTTGGTGTGTTATGGCTTCCCATCTTAATAACATATAGTAAAGTTAGCTTTACTTACTTTAAATATTTTAGCTAGTCTTGGGTTGGTTTTAATGGCATGGAAAATGCTCTTATATCTGTACTGAACACAATAATGGAAATGTATATGGCATAACGTAAAAATATGTATTTGATTTGCATGCTACATTGGTACCTAGAGTGTAAACTTTGGTATAACGTGCTTGAATTTCGTATTAACGATCCATTTGTTTGTGCAATATAGTGCAGTGACTTCCCTTAAGCTGCATTGGTCAGACCACACACTGACATAACAACAAATGGAACAAAGCATAAACTATACAATAGGCAAATGCACATCTCACACACACTTCTCCCTGCCTAACAGTACTGTAGCTGTGATGAGCAGGCACAAAGGCCAGCCTCTCTGGCCATAAATGTCCAGCATGAAGATATACAATTGGCCATTCCATCTCAAGTTGAAGCCTCGGCGATTGCTTTTTGCCCCTTCACTGCAACTCATGCAGGCATGCAATACAGAGCCAAAAACATGGTCTTTCACACATGCATGCACAGCACAGGCGCATAAAATACACAGCGGGTCAAAGAAAGGATGTCTAACAAAATGAAAATGACTTTTTGGTTTACGTGAGAATTATATACACATCCATCAACTGTACACTGATGCTTTGCTTCTTAAGGGGAGTTTCCATGGTTGTAGGTTGCTGTACCACTGCACAATGTGTCTACTTTGTGATAACTTGGAATAGACATAATTTCCTATGGTGTATGTGTAATAGTTGCAGAGTTGATGCTGTAGTTTTTATTTGGTTTCTTACTGTGTCAGTGTTTAGTAAAAACACTTCTGAAGCAAAAATCCCTAAAACTCAGCAGTCAAAAAGCTGATGCACACTCTCAGTAAACAGCTCGACTAATCCCTCCTCACAAACGGCGAGGCCTAGTCGTCTTAGACACCACGACTTCAAAGCAAAGCATGCGTCTCAGACTTGAGTGATGGAATTACAGCACGTTTCTCTCAGTAGCACACAGGGTTAATTAAACAAGCAACATCAGCGAGGCAGCATTTGCTAAAAGCTTATGGGGCCAGCTAAGCTCCAGTGTGGCCTTTGTGTGTGAAAGTGACCACTTCAGTGCTATGCAGGCCCTTCCCAAATGTGTTTGTAGGCATAAGCATTTCCTCTGACTTTTCTGTCTGCTTGTACAGTGTGTCCACACGTGCTCACTAGTGCAGAGTTGAGCGTCTGGCTGCCTCTAAACTATGCACAAAAAATATACAGTTACTTCTGTGTATGCTTGCTTCTTGCAAAGTATGATTTGTCAGGAGAGAGAGAGAGAAAGAGAGAGAGAGAGAGGCCCTTTTCAGACATGCACTGAAACCCTGAAATTCTCTACACATTATCTGGAGTGGCTGTATGTGAGAAGGTAAATGTCTGAGTTGACCTGGAGGTTAAGCGGACTTTACCCTGCCAATTCCCTAGTACAAGTCCCCATAAGGTCTGAGTGACCTGGAATGAGCCCGTGTGAGAATACAGCAGCTTAAGGTCCAGAGGATTCACATGGAGTTAGTGGTTGGGTTGATAACGTTTTACCATGTGACAGGAGTGAAACTGGAAGAATACAAACATCCGATGATAAATAAAAACAGTGAAGAGTGAAAATGTCCAACTGAAGATATGATAAGATCAGTGACATGTGGTCAGGGGAGGCAGGTGAGGCAGAGCCTCCCCTGTCAATCTTGAAAAGAAAAAGAAGTTAACCATAAAATATAATAAATGTTAATATTTGTCGGCTGGTGTGTGTTGTAGGCCCTTTTGCCGTTCGAATCCGATGTTGAATGATTTTTTTTTCAATAAAGAATAGCAGAATTTCCGTATGTCCCGTTCAAATACATGGAGGAGATGCACGATGAGGCAGCACTTTGCTGTGCCTCTCGGTGGATCGTGTAATCCTCACAAACTGTATGCGATGCAAATAGTGTGTCGCTGTCCCTCTATATATCACAAATAAAATGCTTTCAAACACTCTGATTATATGCTCTGCCTTGCCATAATCTGGATAATGTATAAAATGTAGTTCTGTAACGTGTTTAGGCTGCAGATTAACCATAAAACCCAGTAAAAAAGTTACTCGGTGAGGCAAACAG